GTCTTACTCAATTTAAACCTGTACACTATGAGTGATCTTGCTAGTTATTTTAAACTCTGGTGATATAACTTCAGGCATCACACCAAGTAACCTCAGTATAACAATGTGACAGAAAAATGCTATACCCATAAGAGCAAACCATAGAACAAGCAAGCATACAAGTATCATAATGCAAAAGTGCATGCCATGGGGAAGGGGTGTTAAGAGGTGGGGCGCTCAGCCTGGGGCAGAGTTTGCCCTGGCCTCAGAGTGGCCTTAGGCTAGTCAACCTAGCCAAAGATGTTATCTTTGCTGGTCCAGAGGCTGTATGCCTTCTAGTCAGAATAGGGACCCCATCTACTTGAAGGGCTAATTGCAGACCAGGAGTGACACAGTCACAGCCTCTGGGAGAAACTCGCTGAGAGCTTCCAGCTCCAGAAACAAGGCAGCATGGCCTTGAGTTTCTGTTTGTCTGGAAACATAATTTTACTGTCATAATTGGGTGACAATTTTGTTTGGTAAAGAATTCTTGGTAGACATTTTTTTCCCCAGAATTTTACATATGTCATCCCATTGTCTTCTTGCCTGCTTGGTTTCTGCTGAGAAATCACAGCTTCGTTTTTATGGGTTCTCCTTTGTAGGTAACTCTTTATTTTCCCCAAGCAGCTATCAGTACTTTTTGTTTGTCTTCATTTGAGAAAATTCCATTACAGTATGTCTCAATATTTTTATTTTGAGGTCAATCCTATCTGGGGGTTCACTTAGCTTCTTAAAATTTTCTTAAATATTTTCCATTTTACACATTGTTTGAGAAGGATTTCTCCCAACAAATCTTCAACAATTTTCTCTGTGCTTTTAAAAGTCTTCCTGTTCTAGAATTCCTATAAAACATTATTCCTCTTGATATTGTATCATGTAATTTTTAGCTTTCTTTTTTACTTCATTTTTTTTGTTTGCTCTTCTAAAAGATTATTATTAATGGATTTTTCCTCCATCTAACTAAATCTACATTCCATTTCTTCAATTCTGCTCTTTTGTCTTTCCAAATAAAATTTACCTGTGTTTGAAATTTTAGTCCTGATATTCTGAAATTGCTTTCCTGTTTTGTACTGCATCTAAATTTTACATTTATTTTATCTATTTGGCCTTGTTTCTTAAAAAAATTATTCTGTGTCTTTCTTGACCACTTTCTGTCTATTAAAAGACTCAACTATCATTCTTTTGGATTCCTTATCAAAAAGTTGCAAAGAATTTCTTCCTCAGAAAGATTTTCTGGTTCTGTATTTTGTTTACTTTTTGGTTCCATCCTGTTCTTGTTTTCCACTGGTTTAAAGGTATCCTTTGTCTCCAGGACATTGTGCTGCTATTGTCTTCGTTTTGCTAAATATTTAATTAGATTGTGAGTATGCTGTGTTATCACCAGAATTCCCTAGCTAGGTATTAATCTGAAAAGAAAGAAAAAAAACAACAAAACCAAAACCAACCCCTTTTCTAGATTTTTGCCCAGGAGCTCTGATGGCCTCATGTGTAAGGAGTTGGTTTGCCTGTCCAAAGACAGGAGTACGAATTCACCATTTACTCCATGAATGAAAGACAGGCAATCTCTTCCTGGTGATTTACAACCTATAAAACCCTCTAGAGGGTCAGCTATGAGTTGGTGACAGCAATGAGTACAGGAGGTTTTTTATTACAGCCCAAACTCAAATACCATGCAAGTAGCACCCCTGAAGATACCCTACACTTAAACAGATAGGATTAATCATATCTTTATAGATCCACTAGTAATCCTGCATTATTAACATCATAAAAGTTAGAATTTACAACTGTAAAATAGTTACACTATACTGAGGTTCATGGTCCTACTGGCACTTAAAATGAACCATGACCCATGTAGAAGTAGGAAGAAGGGCCCCAGAGAATTCTGAGTTCCAGGCAATGTCCACATTTTATAGTAGCAATCCAATCTTCCTTTAGTACTTCTGATCAATAACACCATTACAGTAACCACTTTTGTTACTTTCTGATTCAATGGCATAAGAATCTGAAAATGGCCAGGTGAGAGTCTATTTTTCCATTCAGTGTAATCACTTTCTTTATGTTACCTTTCTTTAGTACAACCATTCCAACTTGTGATTGAAGACCTTCAAAGGAAAGGAACTCAAATTTACTAGAGCAGGAAGTAAAACATTCTGGGTGTCATGCTTCCAAGACTGAAAGTCAAATATAAGATGGAAATCTTATCAAAACAACTGAGATTTCATCTCACCCCACTAAGAATAGCAAAATTTAACAGAACAGCAAACAATAAATGCTGGCGAGGTTGTGGAGAAACTGGAACCCTTATTCATTGTTAGTGGGAGTGTAAAATGGTGCGACCACTATGGAAGGCTGTATGGAACTTTCTCCAAAAGTTGTAAATACAAATACCATTTAACACAGCAATTCTTCTACTGGGGAATATACCCTAAAGAAACCATAATGAATGGATAGAGAAGCTGTGTTATAGTCACACAATGGAATACTACACTGTACTGAAAAACAAGGAACTCATAAAATACTATACAAAATGGGTGACCCTGGAGGATATTATACTGAGTGAAATATCTGTCACAAAAGGACAAATATTGCATAGTGCCACTTCTGTAAAACAGGACTGACAGCAGGGTTGGGGGAGACTGAAGAAGATGGGATAAATAATGTATACTGCGTTGAAACAGATGAGGGAGAAAACTGTTTTGAAGGGATATATGAAGAATGAAGGCTGCATAGTGGAGTGGACTTGAGGGAGGGATTGTATATCAATGAAAGACTTTTACTTTTCAAAGAGAAGAACAAACTGGGGGGAGGGGAGGTTGGGCAGGGAAAAAAGTGAAACAATGAATGAATGAAAATACAAAGTTTCTGTAAAGTTTCATTACAATTAATAATAATAATAAAGATGAAACTCTTAGAATGTAATCATTTAAAAGGAGACTTTGGTGGGCTAGTGCGTAAGGAGTTGCACTGCCATTTCAAAGGCAGGTGGTTTGAATCTATCAGCAGTTCTGAGGGAGAAAGATAGGCAGCCTCTTCTCATGTGATTTACCTACTCAAAACCTGCTGGAAGGTCAGCCATGAGTCAGTTCTGAGTTAATGGCATATAAAAACAACAATCAATTAAGAACTCTTATTATATTAGAAGGAAAAAATGAAATTGGAACAATTTCTTCAGTATCTTTTTAGAAAATTTGCCCATGGGGTTAAATCTCAATGCTCTCAAATGTATTTTTGTGAAAGTGAGATATCTATCACTGATGAAGAAATACCGATTACAGAAGAAGAAATCAGGTGACAGCTTCTTTAAGAATAAAGAGAACATAAATTACATAAGACTTTGCAAATACTTGGCAAGGTTTGGAGCACTTCTGCCCTACCTCAACAACTGAGTATTTTTAGTGAGCAACTGATTTAGCAATGTGAATACTGCTTTAAGTTAAGGAGGTAGAAAGTATTTACCAATCCTGTGGTAAATGCCACAGTCATATATTATAAATTCAATGAGGGAGGAAAGAAAGGAGAATTTTCCTGAAATATATCCACTCAGCTGCGAGGCACCTGGGGAATACCAAGTCCAGAAAAAAAAAAAGCTCATTCTGAAGTTTTTCTCAGTTCCTCTGAGAAACTACCAACTGTTCTCAATTTCCTTTTAGTTCTTTCACTTAAATTTTTTCATCCACCAGCCTTATTCTTTACAACTATTATATAAGCAAAAAAATCCCCTTCGACTTCTACAGTATTATCACATTCAAGAACAAGGCAATTGTCATCACCATTCTAAATTACTGGAATGAATTCATTTCCTTCCGGTTCCTCGATGCTCTGATTTTAGTGGCGAAATGGAAACCGAATGTGAAATTAAGTTGGACTGTGACATTATTCCGGAAATCTTTGTGTCCTAGAGGGTAAGGAGATAGGCAATTTCCTTCCGTGCAAACTACAGCCTCAAGGGGGGGGGGGGGGGAACGGTCAGTTATGAGTCGGTTCTGACTTGATGTCAAGGAGTTGAATTTGTGACACTATTTCCAGGGAAAGAGACATTAGGTGGCAAACAGGCCACTCATTTCCAGGCAAGGAGTGCAGGCCCTCAGGACAAGTGACATGCAGCAGATGTGGCCTTTTTCTGTTGATCTTTCAATGTTGATGCCTCACAGGGATTTTGTGGTTCATAATTAAACCCATTCCTATTCTTCTCGTATGTTGTTGTTGTGTACCATAGAGTCGGAACCAACCCATAGCTGACCATCCGGTGGGTTTTCAGAGGCAGTTAATCACACTTCACATGGGAGGAGACTGCCCATTGCAGCGCTGCTTCTTGCCACTAGGCCACCAGAGCTCATTCCTATTCTAGCATAACATTTTTTCTCTCCCCAAAATAATACATGATTACATGTAAGTTATTAAGCAAACAAAAGCAAGTTATTAAACAAAAATGAACCTCCACATAAAAAAGAAAACCAGTACTGTGATGAAAGAGAATAAATTTGGTGACCCTTCCCCATTCCTTTGCTTTAGTTTAACCTTATCTAAAATCAAAGCCCCACTGGAGAGGAATATGAAGTACAAACAGCTGGGTTGCTCCATAAACCGAACTAGAAACGGGGCAAGGTGACGGCTCCACAGAGTCCAACACAGATCTTTCGATTTTCGGTCCTGCACAAAACGCATTACGTCACCAGGTTTCCTCTGTTTCCGGAGACTGCTCAAGAGTCATTCCTAAACTCCTAGAGCTTAAGGGCTAGGGCTCCACAAGCAGCCACAAACCACGACTTTCCCCGAGTGGCCGTGACCTCCGGCAAAGTACGAGACACCAAAGGCAACGCCCCGCCCCTCCGGCACGTTCCCATTGGGGGCCAGTAGCGCATGCGCACTGGCGGCGGCTGGCGCGCGGGCCTGTGGCGTCATCAGAGCGCGCGGGTCCAGTGTAAATGTCACCGGGGCGCCGAAGCTCAGTGGGTACAGTCTTTTGAGCCCTTCCAGGCAGCATGAGTGGCGGTGGCCTGTGCATGCGCTCGGCGGCGGCGGCGGCGCGTTCCTGCCGCGTGCTGGCGGCCGTCAGGGCGAGCCGGCGCTCACTGCACGCCAGTCCGCCCAGCCGAGCTTTCGCCAAGCAGCTCTTCCTAGGCACAATCGAGAAGGTAATGCAGACCCTTGCTCTCTGCCTCCCACGTTTCGCCCTCTGGCAGGCCAGATTGTGCCACCAGTATCTGAGCCCGCAAGACTTGCCTGATGAAAGAATCATCAGGGCTTTTTTTTTTTTTTTTTTAAACTCCAGATTTCCATGTTCCACTAGTGCTTTTACAGAGCAGGTGTAGAGCGGTTCCGAGGAAGGGAATGCTGGGAATCTTAATGTTTTAACAAATGTCAACTAAATTTTCTTTTTCCTTTTTTAACTCTCTAGTAATTATTTTCAGATAAATTTTGGAAACCATGAGCATAGCTGCCCTGGCTGTGAGGGGCTTCCTCTCTGATTTTTAAACGCAGTGGTCCTCTATTGTGGGCTTCCACCCACTCCCTAGGCTCCCACAGCTGAACCCCAGATCCTTAACTTCCAGTTCAGGTTGTTCAAGTCTAGTTCCAGTTTGCCTTCTCTACCCTGTCCCCCCCAAAAAAAAACCCAAACAAAAAACAACCAAAAAAACCCCCCCCAAAACTAGCAGTCTGGTCCTCATGATGTAGTTTTGAGAGACTTGGATTTCATCTTAACCTGTGACTTTGATTCTCAATTTTGGAATGTTTCTACCTCACAGATGTGTTGCAGAGCTCTGTTATAGTTATCTAATGCTGCTATAAGTTCCTTAAGCGAACGGCTTTGTTGTTGTTATTATATGCCATGAAGTCACTTGTGGCCCTATATACAGTAGCTCTGAACTCTGCTCTATCTTGAGCCAATCTTATTGGCTCTGACACACCTTCCCCCCATCACCTAAGACACTGAGCCAATCCATCTCATCTAGGGTCTTCCTCTCTTGCACTGTCCCTCCACCCTCCCAGGCGTGATGTCTCTCTCCAACGACTGGTCCCTCCCTTGCAACATGCCCCCAGAAAAGTATATCAGAAGAAGCTTCAGAATCCTTACTTCCAACGAGCAGCCTGGCTTCACCCTCTCCAGGTTGAAACTGTTCTCAAATATTTATTTTCTTAGTTTAGGATGCTACAAGTTTAAATCCAGGGCACCAACTTCAGGAGAATTTCCCCCTCTTTTGACTGTGGGAGAAAGTCCTTGTCTTTACTCAGTATCTATGAACCTGGTGTTCGTTAGAGATTTCTGTTTGTTGGCATTAGTCTTCCTATGAGTCTAAGAGGTTCTTGGCACGGGAACCCCAGGCCCAAAGTCCATGCTCCACACCCAGTGCTTTGAGAGTCAGGTCCTTCTTGTCCATATCTCTTTCCTTTTATCTTTTGTAGGATAAAAGATGATGCAGATCAAACTCAAGAGAAACTCCCCTTTACATTTTACCAGAGCTGTTACTCTTGCATCTCACCCAAACTCCCACAACAACTGGTCATTTAATCCTATTACATCATGGGAATGATTGCCTCATTATATATTTGTGAAACATCTGAGAATCAGAGCCCAGCCAAATTGACACATACTTTTGGCTATAAAATGGTGTAAAAATGGTATTCATCCCCTCTTAAAGTTACTTTAAAAACCAAAGGGTGTGCAACAATGAATGAATGGTAATCCAAGTTCTCGATAAACTTTCATTAAAATCTCAATTAAAAAAACCCAAAAGATGGGGGAAATTGTGTAAAGTGCTTTGAGAGAATGTAAAAAGAGCAAAGGCAGAATGAAGATAGCTCAAGTCTGACCTCTGCTAATTCACAAGGGGGAATTGTCCCTGTCATCAACATCTACAACACAAAACTACTTCCTATGAGGTCAGACATGTTCCTCACACTCCCACCACCTAGTTTCACTAATTCTAACTTCTCTCTTTTGCTACTGGGTCCAAAATCCATTGCAATAGCTACACAGACCACACAGAACATGAGTATAGTGCTTATTAGGGTAGTTAACAGGTGATAACAGGTCAGCAATATGAGACAGTTCCTGAGTCAGGACAGCTTCTGAAGTGTATTTGCAGACCCTTCAAACCTTGTGGCTTACAGCCAGTGTTAGAAAGCTCTCTCAGCGAGCTCTGGTGGCCTAGTGGCAAGAAGCTGCACTGCAGTCTCAGAGGTACACGGTTCAAATCCACCAGATGCTCTGCTGGAGAAGGAGGAACAATCTCCTGTATCAGTCAGATCTGATTTGATGGTACACACAAAAAATAATGAAAATAATTTTTTTTTTTAAAAAAAAGAAAGCTCTCAGTTCTGCCAGTTAAGGTATCCTCTCCCCTTGCCCTACCCTCAGGCTTTCAGCAAGCGTGGTTGAAGCCCCCCGGCTCTGTAAGACAGCAGTCCCAGGTCAGCTCTGCCTCACACTTAAGTGTCTGGTTTTGCTGCAGCTGCCAGGGCTTACCTGTAGGCCCCAGGCTGAGTGGTGCAGGAATCTCTGACCCCAAAAGGCATGTGCTGCATTCTTCTTTTTGCTGGTAGTGAGAGTCTTCAGATAACTGCCATTGAACCTACTCAATTTAAATTTGGTCGAATGGTGAAACTAGCCAATCCCCTGCTGGATAGACTTAACACACTTTGTTTGATTGTTCCTTCCCAGCCATGCCACAAACTCAAGGACAGTGGCTTAGGAAGGTAATTTTGAACAACAGACTCACTACACCACGGCAAGGCTTGGCTGACATGTACTGCAGACTGGTACTACATCATTCCTCTAAGTTGGTCAGACTGACCCGTTATACAAGCATTGCAGTTGCAGAAGCGAAGACAGGGTAATGTGCATCTCTCAGAAATGCAGAGTTAGTATCTTTAAAGTTTGTTATTGTTAAGAGCTGTGCAGCCTCTGTGTCAGTCTGTCTTGTTGAGAGTCTTCCTTTTTTTGATTGACCGTCTACCAAGTATGAGATCCTTCTCCAGGAACTGATTCTTCCTGATGACAGGCCCAAAGAATGTAAGAAGCCTCTCCATCCTCACTCCCCACAGGGAGTATTCTGGCTTTCCTTCTTCCAAGTCAGATTTATTTATTTATTTTTTAAGTTTTAGGTTATTACAAGTTATGCCAAAATATACAGTCTTTTAAGATCTGAAAATAACCCATCTACAAAGTAAGGTGGTGGTTATTGTTATGTGCCGTCGAGTCTCTTGCGACTCATAGCAACCCTATGTACAACAGCCCTAAACCCTGCTCTATCCTGTGCCAATCACACTGTCTCCGATACACCCATCCCGATTACCCCAGTCACTGAATCAATCCACCTCATAGAGGGTCTTCCCCTCCTGTACCGTTCCTCCACCCTCCTAAGCATGATGTCCCTCTCCAAGGACTGGTCCCTCCTTACAACATGTCCAAAGTATGTCAGAAGAAGCGCCAGAATCCTTGCCTCCAAGGAGCAGCCTGGATTAACCCTCTCCAGGATTAATCTGTTTGTTTTCCTAGCAGTCCATGGTACCCTCAATACTCTTCTCCAGCACCACAGCTCAAAGGCATCAATTCTTCTGTCCTTCGTAGTCATTGTCCAACTCTCTGATGCATAGCAAGTGATTGCGAAGACCATGGCCTGTATCAGATGCACCTTAGTCTCCAGAGAGACACTATTGCTCTTCAGTAATTTGGAGAGGTCCCTAACAGCAGACTTTCCCACCGCACTATGCCTTTTAATTTCCTGGCTACTGGTGCCAAGAGTGTTGACTGTGAGCCAAGCAAAGTTCTTTATCAAAAGGTGTGTTCTTCCAATTACATTTGTGGTTACCAGCAATCAGCAGCCTCTTTAAAGATAATCTTTTCTTCATAGCGACATCAACATGTGGCTCTTTGGCTGTCTAGGTATGATTTACAGCCTAAATGTATAACACTGTCAAACAGGCTCCACTGTAGTCTCACATGTCTGAACATGCTGAGCTAGTGCAAAGGTTTTCTGTACATGTTGGCAGATCTTGGACAGGCAAAACTGGCACTTTTCATCATAGTTGTTCTTGCTGTTGCTCCAGGTCTCATAACACCTGTCATGTTGGTTGCAGCACTTTGGCAGGGAAGAGATTCCAGTGTTAAGGTAGACACCAAACAGCAGGGAGCCACATCCATTCCATGTGACGGTTTATAACCATAATGTGACAGCAGGGAGCCACATCCATTCCATGTGAGGGTTTATAACCATAATGTGGTATGAGGCTTAGATCCAACACTGCACTTACATTAGCAGATTCTGTCTTTGCCTCCTAGGAGGTCCAAGGTGAAGTTCAGGTACACGTGTCTCTTGAACTCCATTCCAGATGGTCTTAAGAGGAGCCCTCCAGTCGGTGCCCTGGGCTGTTCCTCACACCTGAGAGTGGCTTCCTGAAAGGAGGAGAATCAGGGAGAAGAGCACACACTGCAGCCACGGAAGCAGAGCCATCCATTCAGTGCTGGTCCTGCAGAGACTCCATGGTGCCTGAGGCAGTGGCTCAGACCCAGGGGCTATGCAGCTGCCAGCTCCTTTCCTGCTCCTCCTTCCCAGCAAGCTGAGTTTTGGCTGCCGTCTTCCTTGTTTATTTTTTTGACACTCCCTGATACATTCAAGGTTCTTCACCAACACTTAGTTCAAATGCTTTAGTTCCTCTGTCTTTCTTATTCATTATCTAACTCTCATATGCACATGAGGTGATTGAAAATTCTGTGACTTAGGTCAGACACACCTTTAGTCTTTGACATTCTTGTTCTTGAGAACTTTAAAAGGGCTCCCTGAGAATAGGCAGGCTGGACTGGTCTCCTAGGAGTAGAGGATGCTCTGCATCCAGTGTGGTTTCTTCCCTCTCCCAACAGCATTTACTGAAGTTTTCCTCACATATCCTAAAAGCTCTGAAATTAAACTTCCTCTAAATACTTTCTTAATACTAAATGTGAACTTAGTGTATTGTTGGTTTTGTTTTTCTTTAAAAAGTTTTCTTGCCTTGACTGCCCCTCCTTTCAGTGTGACTTTACTTCCCACCTCTACTCTGATGTAGATAGTAATACTTTTGTTGTTGTTAAGTGCCGTTGAGTCGCAGGCAACTCATAGCGAACCTATGAAGGAGAGTCCTTGACGTTTGGGTGCCT